CACCTGGAGGACTGCTGAGATGAGCCATGGTACTGAGTAAGCCCACAGAGTGAGTCCTAGAGTAGGTAGATGAGGACAATCTGGAACACTATTATTGTTTGTAAGGGCAATACTCTTGCTTTTGACCTGTTAGGCCCAAGCGTTTGCCAATGAGGCAGGCCTTGCACAAGTTGTAATGGGATTCATCAGTCTTAGCAGCAAAAGTCAATCTCCCTCAAAGGGTAGGTCTTCAATACATTTCTTTCCTTATCAGTGAGGTCAGTAGATTTCAGCCATGCATAACGACGAAGTGTTACTGCACCGGAGATGACCTTGGCTGCACAATCTACAGAGTACCTGGCAGAATGGATTTGTTGATTAACTAGAGAAAGAGCCTCGGTGTAAAAATCAAGGGCAGCCACCCTCTGTTCCTCTGGCAGACTGGGAATAAAGGAGGCCATCTGGTCCCACAAGAATTTCTGATAGGCACCCATGCAAGCCTGCATGTTACCTACTTTGGCAGAAAGGGCAGTCGAACAATAAAAACATCTTCTCAAGATGTCTAGACGTCTACCTTCCTTATCTATAGGAGCAGAATGTGCTTTACTAGACAATTTAATGGTAGATTCAATGTAAAGAGATAAGGGGCCATGTCAAGTTGAACCTTGTAGACCTTCAAGCCTCTTAGAAGCAGGTGGAATAGAATTAGGCTTGGTCCATGAGAGATGCATGACATCAGACAGGGAAGCAAGGAATGGAGAGACTGCTTTGGCATCGACAATCCAAAAAAACCAGGCCATGTGCTGGTTTAGGAGGACTGTCCACTTGGATTCCTAGTGCCCGAGCCATCCATACAACCACATTAAAAAAAAGTTGGACATCTTCAGTTGGGGAGTGGGGTCCAGTGTCTTCAACTTTTTCTTGAGGAGATGCAATCAATGGGGAAGGTGAGCCAGGTGAAAGCTCGGTATCATAAGCAGTCTCTTAATAATAATAATAATAATAATAATAATAATAATAATAATAATAATAATAATAATAATAATAATAATAATAATAATAATAATAATAAATTATTTATATACCGCCCAATGGTTGCCCAATCCGGGCGGTTTACAAGATAAAAACAGTTACAATAAGCAACATAGCCCTCCCCACTTAAAACATTATTAAACAGTAATATAATTAAAAAACATAAAACAATATACAACAATTAAAATAATACAAACCATAGCAGTAGATTGTGGAGGCATGGCAGGAGTGACAAGTTGGACAGCCTATGTGGTAGTGGGAGCAGGTGTCATCTGTGGCACAGGAATTGAAGATACAATTGGAATGACAGCAGGAATGGGGGTCGGTATTGTTGTGGTAAGTTAGGGGTAGGCAACCTTTCCCCTTTAAGGGCCGAGGGACTCCAGCTCCCAGAATCCCAGGAGCTATTGGCCAACATGGGACTATTGGCTAACATGGCTGAGGCTTCTGGGAGCTGAAGTCCCTCAGCCCTTAAAGGGGAAAGGTTGCCTACCCCTGTGGTAAGTGGAATAGGAACTGTCAGTATTGAGGGATGAGGAGGAGATGGTGGTGGTTGAGAGATGGTAGCAGTAGTACGAGGTGGAGGAGATGGTGTATCGACAGGATGGTCCAGTCAAAGTTTGGATCAAGGCCAAGGAGAGGGAGAATGAGAGCAGGAACCATTCTTGATATCGAGAAGGAGAGTGGTAATATAACTCTCTGTGATGGTAACAATCTCTAGAAGAAGGAGAATAGGATCTGTAAGAAGGTGGTCTTTCCTTCCAATATTCTTCAGCCCGGTATTGATCTATATACGATGCCAAAGTGTAAGGTGAGCCTCAGTAATAGTGTCTAGAGGATGATGCAGAAAGATCAGCACAGTCTCGAGATGGTGTTGGGGATCAATGAGATCATGTAGGAGATGTCTCTCAAGGCCGAGGGGGCGGAGGTGAGAATGAAAGCTTATATGTCCGGGTTGGAGAGGCAAAGATCTGAGACGGTACTAAGCCTGGTACCAGAGGCAGTGGTGATACCACTGGCAATGATACAGGCACAGCTAGAGTGGGTAATGAGGTTGATAACGTACCTCCACTCAGTGATGTCAATGTTAGTACTCCCTGAGATGGGGAGGTGAAGAGATGGTGTCGAGGTTGGAAGTTAAAACACTATGGTAGTCTCAAGTGCCACTGCCAACGTAATGGTTGGTATCGAGGCCGAGGTCAGAAATGGCTCCACTATAGTAAACGATGGAGCAGAAGGCTTAAGACTTGTGTTTTCTTTTAGCCTTCTCGACGTCATGGTCATCTGTTGATGCAGACTTCTTTTTAGCCTTGTGCCTCTCTTGAGAGATGGAGGGAACCTCCTGCAGTGCTGGAGTATGTCCTGTACATGGTGCAGAAGAGCTTTGAGAAGCCATTAGAGACCAGCTCTAAACCACTCGATATTGAGGTTGTCGGTATCGAGGGCAGCGTGGTCGATATCAAAGCTGATGAGGCTGAAGAACTCAGTGTCAGCAATATAGATGGTACAGATAGCGAGGCTGATGAGGCTGAAGAGCTTGGTGTCGGCAATGTAGATGGCACTGAGGTCTCCAAATTCTTAGAAAGTTTCGGAATCTGAGGAAGCTTTGAAATTGGAACCAAAGCCAGAGGGTCTTGTTGAGAAGATGATTTCTGAGTGACAGAGAGGGAGCACTCCCAATAAAAAGTTTTAGACATTGCACCCTGTTATGGAGTGCTTGAGTGGTGAAATAGTGACAGATGGAACAACGCCCAGCAATGTGACCCTCACCCAAACAAAAAGGGCATTTAGTATGTCCATCCGTGAGGGCAACTTTACGTTTACAAGAAGCTTGAACAGAGAATTGAAGGCCAAAGAGGCCCGGAAATGAGGCACCCAGCTGGGCGAAAAAAATGGAAAAAGACTCACTTCTCAGCTCTGCAAGGGCAAGCTCAAGTAAACAAATAAGGAAAATAAGGAAATAAGGAAAATTCTATTGTACATGAGAGGAACTCAGCTAGAGAATGATCCAAGAGAAGCTTCTCTTGCTGTGGATGAAAGAGAAATGAAGGAGGAGCTAGATTGGTGGGATTGGGCATGCTCAGTACACGGGAGTGGGTGGGACTTCAGCCAATCTGCTTAACTTTTCAGCCTCCATACTCTCTGCACAGGCGTAAAACCCTATGGTGTGAAGCACAGAGGCTACGATGGGGAATACATTATAGCAGGGGTTGGCAACCTTTTTACCCCACGGGCCGGGGGGGAGGGAATGGCGTTGGCCCGCCATCGTGTGTATGCGCGGGTAAGTGTGCGCAGGTGGCGCCATTTTGGAAGGCCCAACGGCGCCATGTGCATGTGCATGGTGCCATTGGGCGTTCCAAAATGGCACCCCCCACGCACGCGTCCATACGCCATTGGGCCTTGGGGGAAAAATGAGAAAGTGTTGGGGGGAAGGACTGCCAATATACTAGGTGATGCATTCTGGGGTATGTACAATTTGTGGCCAAGTAAGTGGCCCTGGGCATGTCACATACTCTCAGCCTCAAGAAGATGGTAATGGCAACCCCCATTTGAAGAAACATGCCACGAAAACCCCATGATAAGGTTGCCTTAGGGTCACCATAAGTTGGAAAGGACTTGAAGACACACAAGAACAACAAAAGAGTCTGCAACTGTTTCATAGGTAGTACATGGGAATAGGAGCCAGCATGGTGTAGTGGTTTGAGTGTTGGACTACCACTCTGGAGACCTGGGTTTGATTCCCCACTCTGCCATAAAACCCACTGGGTGAACTTGGACAAGTCACATGCTCTCAGCCTCAGCGGAAAGTAATGCCAAACCTCCTCTGAACCAGTCTTGCCAAGAAAACCCCATTATCACTATAAGTCGGGAACAATTTGAAGGCACTCAACATACACATATAACCTCCAAGTTAAGGAACTTGGTTCTTCTTTAGATAAATCTTCAAGGGTACTCTCTCTCTCTCTCTCTGTGCAGAATTATTTGTTAAAGCAGCCATGCCCAAGCAACACATTAACTTTGGCTGTGTCTGCATTGCAGAAATTTATTAAAGCAGTTTGACACTGCTTTAATTGCCGTCTCAAGACTATGGAATTCTGGGATTTGCAGTTTTGTGAGATATTTAGCCTTTTCTGTACCACAAAGCAAACTGCAGATCCTAGGAGTCCATAGGATGGAGCCATGGCAGTTAAAGCGGTGTCAAACTGCATTATTTCTGCAGTGCAAATTCAGGCTGCATCCATACTGTAGAACTTGCTTCCTTCTCCTCCTCTCGTTCTCATCTTCCTCCTCCTCTCTCCTGGCTTCCTCCTCTTCCTCCCTTCATTCTCATCCTCCTCCTCCTCCTCTCTCCTGGCTCTCTTCTTTCTCCCTTCGTTCTTCTTCTCCTCCTCCTCTCTCCTGGCTCCCTTCTCTTTCTCCCTTCGTCGTCATTGTCCTCCTCCTCCTCTCTCCTGGCTTCCTTCTCTTTCTTCCTTCATTCTCATCCTCCTCATCCTCTTTCTTAGCTTCCTCCTCTTCCTCCCCTCATTCTTCTCCTCCTCTCTCCTGGATCTCTTCTCTCTCTCCCCTTGTCTTCATTGTCCTCCTTCTCTCTCCTGGCTCCCTTCTCCTTCTCCCTTCGTCCTGATCCTCCTTCTTCTCTACCTGGCATAGAAGACAACCCTGAATTTTGAGACCCTTTTCCAGGGTTAAAAAGTTGTCTTGTATGCCTGAAGATACGGTAATTATGATTTTTGAATATTTGTAAAGTTTTATTTATTTTGAAAATCTTTTAGTTGTATCTCTTTAACTCTTGTAAGCCATCTTGAATTCCAAACTGGGAAGAAGGCAGGATGTAATTAAATATAAATATAATTAATTGCACTCTGTTTAATTTTGTATTATAAGAATCCAGGTGATTGACAATCTTATCATATTTTTTAAGTGTAAGAGCACAAGATCTTTATGCTGCAATGCAGAATTTATTTATTAATTCCTGAAATTATTGAGCCAGCGTGGTGTAATGGTTTGCGTATTGGACTATGATTCTAGAGATCCGGGCTCAAATCCTTGCTTGGTCATGGCAACTCACTGGGATGATCTTGGGCAAATCACATTCTTTCAGCCTCAGAAAGTGTTACATGTTTACAAAGTTTAATGAGAAAATAATATGGCAATTTTTAGAACCTCATGTCTCTTCCAGCAGATTATTATTCAGCGGTATGAACTTTTTTTTCTCCAAGTGCAAATTCTGATGAAAAGCAACAGATCTTCCTGTCTAGAAAATGGAAAAACATCTACCAGCATCAGACTTAACAAAGTCAAAAAAGGTAATATAGTCGCCTTTCCATTCTCATGGACTTCAGGTCTGCAGTTTTGAATAGTCACAGAGGGGCGGCTTCCATTAAAATCAATGAGACGTGCCCCATTCAAGCCTATGGGGCTTGAATATTGGCGAGTCTCCATTTTCACGGGGTGGTATGGAACGAATTCCCCGTGAAAACGGAGGGCCGACTGTATATTCACTTAAAAGCCTGCTTAAAATATTTTCACAAATAAGGAAAATATACCCACTTTGGGTGAAAAGAGTTCAAACATTACTCAGTTATTTTGATCCTAAACAATATGGTGCACCAAACTCATAGTCAGCAGTGCTGGTGTAATGGAATGGAATCTCAGAAGGATCACAAAGTTTGAGGTCCTTTCACACTATAAAATTGTAGTGTTATTATTCCACTATAACTGCCATGGCAACATCCCATGGAGTCCTGAGGTCTGTAGTTTGGTAAGACACTAGTAGAACTTTGTGGCTGAAAATTCTAAATATCCCCCCTTAAACTTCAAACCCTTCAATTCCACAGGATGTTGCCAAAACAGTTAAAGCCCAATACAGCATTATAATTGTGTTATATGAGAGGGCTCTTGGACAGAAGTATCTACTGATCCATGAAGCTAACTTGCCAACACTGGACAAATAAATACCACCCAATCTAGCCTATGCTATAGGGCTGCTGAGAGAATATTGTGGTAAAGCCCAATGGATGCTACCCTGGACACCATGAAAAGGGAATATTAGATAAAAAATCTCTCACCAATTAAATGTGCTCAGTAGAGCATTCCAGCCTTTAAAAACAGTGCTGCTATTTAATATAATTAAAATAAAAAGATTTTCTACATAATTTAGATTTTCTACATAATAGAAAAGGGCCTGACGTGATACCACAAACAGTTAAATGTGGTCTGATGGGCAAGATGATAGATCCCTTTGTTTACTTAGTTACCATGGCAGACTTCCACTATACAATACAACACTTTTTTTCACCTTTAATAAAAGTTTAAAAAAGAAGAGAAAAAGGAGATACATTAAACTTTTTCTTTATCTCTTGAAACGTCTGTGGCAAGAAAGGTTTTACTTGAGAATTACTGAAGGTATTAATTACTCTTTGGGGAATTAGGAAAGAAATAGCATAAAAGGTCTTGAATTGTTTGAAGTACAACCCCATCCTGTTTTAAACAACACATAATTAAATACACACAAAGGGAGAAAGAAAATACTAGCAAAATGGAAAATACAGTTTTTGCTTTTGATAACTGAACTTGTTTTTGGGAAACAACATGTCTATCATGTGATGAAGATAACCAGAGGGAAGAAGGAATAAAACAAGTGAAAATAAATACACCTAGAGAAAGGATGCAAGAACAGACATAACACAAAAGATTTCCCCTCTGTACTAGTTATCTTCTTGAATCTTGATAGAGAAGATCTTTTGGTGGTAAACAATCCATGTGATTGTGAAGCTATCCAAATGTAGCATTTATTTAAATGTATTTTTTCATCTTCTCTGGTAATGCACTAAAAATCAGATTCTACTGAAGTGGCATAGCAGTGACTGCTATTCAAAGACACCCAAGCACAAGTAGAAAGCACTCATCATATTCATGGAGAGTGAAGGTTGCTGATTTTTCTTCCTAACAAGAAACATTTAATTGCTACTCCAAAGTCTCCAATACTACTAAAAGGAGCTTTTAGGGTGAAGTATTGCACATTTTATACAGACCAGAAAGTGCATCACATTGAATTTAAGCTAGTATTTTCCTGTACAAACTCACCAAATCACTCATTTTTCCCCTACAATTTCAATTTACTCTGTACATAATTAACTATTTTAGGTGATGTTATTCCATGGTCTCTTCTCTGCTTTCCCCTTCCAATACATAAAACAATCCAAAGGCTACAGAATAAGACATTCTGAGTATTAAAAAAAAAAGGGGGGGGAATCTAGCAGTACCTTCATGACAAAATGATTTATTTTAGTGTAAGCTTCCATGGATTTCAATCACCTTCTTCAGACACACTGATGAAGTTAATATCCACAGACTAGGTAGCTGTCTTTTCTTTGCCAAAGCACAATTAATTGGTCAGCTGGTTAGTTCTACCATATTCTATCAGTGCTAATATGATTAAGGGCCTTTACAGACTGTCAGAAATAATGCAGCTTGAGTCCACTTTAACTGCTCTGGCTCAGTGCTAGGGAACCATGAGAATTGTAGTTTATTGTGGCACCAGAGCTCTCTGACATAGAAGGCTCAATGTCTCAGAAAAAACTACGGTTCCCATGATTCCCTAGCACTGAGCCAGGGCAATTAAAGTGGACTCAAGCTGCATTATTTCTGGCAGTCTGTAAAGGCCCAAAGTCTCTCTATTTGATGGTGTGTGTCCCCCACATTCCCAAATATTGTACCTGATGATTCACTGTAAAGTTGTTCATGACAAAATTTTAAGATGTAATAAGGCCTGCCTGAGTTTGTCTTTTTCTTGGAGAAGACAGGTAAATGTGATCAAGATGTCATCTCAGCAGTGTTTTTTAAATACTCTGTGTAAGTGATCTACAAAAGCCACCAGGATCTGGATGAATACCCCAAGTGCCAAGAAGAGTCTGAATGGTAGCATTCTGAACTGGCAATGGTATCTCATGTAGGTGAAGTGCATGAATCTCCAGTGCAACAAATGAATCAGTACCATTTTTAATGAACCTCTAATTCAGATTTTCTGTTCTAAACAAGACATCACTTCATCCATGGATTTAGCCATGTCAACTGTAGGATTATTTGCAAATCCTTGTTGTTTTGGGGAATCATAAAACTATATACAGCAGACAACAGACTGCTGATTGTCCACTGGAACAGGTTAGTGGCTCCAATTCTGAAGTGTTGAACTGAGTTTGTGCTTGGTGAGGAGTTTGCTTCAGGTGAGACCACAAAGCTGTTTTAGGCCCGAAACACACAGGCCAAATAGAGTGGCTTCCAGACACTTTGGGGGCATAGCGTTTAGATGAATCATGCCCCCTGAGTGGCTGAAAGCTGCATCGAGGCCGTGACAAACCAGAAAAAGACGAGCCTTTCAGGAGCAGATTAAGTCTGCTCCTACTGATGGCTGACTTGAGACTGTGACAGTGGCCATGCGGTCAGCGCAGTCTTGACCCAATCATAGCTAGCACAACCTCTGGCTGCTCCTTCATGGCCCTCTGTTTCAGGCTGTAGTTCCAAGGATGCATACTGTGAATTTGTATCTGGTGCTCAATCTGTGACAGAACTGCCCCAAACTGCAGTGGTTAAAATGATCCATGTGGCAGTGGTGAGGTCACCTGGCACAATGCACAATAGGGCTTCTTTTTCCCTCTGGGGCTAAAAAGTTTGCCAGAAATGAGCTAGATTCATGCTCTCTTCTGATGTGTCTGATTTCTGGGTTTAAGCTCTGGAAAGCTGGAGTGGTTAAGAGTCTGAGTCTCAAAAGAAAATAATTTGATTTCAGTCCTTTCTATTTTCCAATAATTTAGCCATGTCCCCTGACAGGATGATGTAGCCATGGCTCTATCTGAGAACAGGTCAGTATCCCATGACATGTGAACTGAAAGAATGATATTTGCTTTTAGCTTATAATTAGACCAATTTTAGCCAATGCCATATTGGAAGGCCCCAGAGAAGGGAGAGTTCCCACTGAACATTGGGGCACAAGAGCTGAGGCCACTGTTTATTGCTTTGCTTCTGGAAAGTCTGTTAAAGAGTCAGAAGGGATGAGTGCATAACTACTTAGAGAAGGAATAGGAGAAGAAAGATTTAGGTATGTTTTTTAACCCAGTGAAGATCATAAACTCCTTTCAAGCTTTTTCTCTACCTTATTCTGTTAGGATTGGGAAGAAAAGGCTGTTAACATTTGTTCTCAAGAAATGATCATGCTGGCTGGTTGCTATAAGCACAACTGTAACTCTTCTGGAGGAAAGAAAAGATGTAACTAATACAGTGGCTGTGGCCTACATAGCTTTGCTAGGTTAGTTTTTCAGTGAGATGAATCAATCAACTATTTTAATTGTTGCTTTAATGTGTTTTATATATATTGTTAGCTGCCTTGGATCCCAACCTCTCTAGTTAAGGTGAAGGGAAAGGGGTATGGAGACAATCTGAAAACAACAAAACATTACTGTAATACATGTATACCTGATTAAGAAAGTACATGTGTACCTGAGTTATACTTTTTTATCAGAAACTCTGGTAGCTGAGATAGAAAGAACAGGGGTTGGTTCCTACACCACAAAAAAGAAGAGCAGTTCAACACAGAGCAGTTCCAAGGCCTTGGCGGGCTGGGTTTGGCCCGCGGGCCGTAGGTTGCCGACCCTTGCTATAATGCATCCAGAAATGCCCCCCCCCGGCTCTGCTCTTCTTATGATTTCCATTTTGATGATCAAACCTAAAGATCTATGCTTTTTAACATAATAAGAGGGGTTGCTCAGGCAGACCAATCTGCTCACCCTTTTCCTCTCTGTTTTGCTGTTCACACATGCTTTGTAAGGGAATCTGGAAGCACTTGCTGTTTACTATGCCTGTTGTAAGCAGACATACACAGCTATAGTAGGACCATTCTTTGTGAGCTCAAGCTTTATTGCATTGTTTTCTGCCGACATGCTGACGCAACCTAGCATCAAAAATCTCTCTTTACCCAGCCCTCCTCCATCATCCTCCCCGTCCCAATACTGAAAACAAAACAAAACAAAACCTTCCAGCTAGACAGAAGAAAATAAAAGAA